GTTGGAAAATCAGCATTCTCTTCTTTTCCGATGGTTTTTCGGCCATATCTCCTTCCACTGACCTCCAAATCCAAAACCGAAAGCACTCTTGTGCTCCTCGTGGTTGGGCGCTCCTTCCCCGATAGTTTGGTCGAGTTTGGGGTGGTTTGATCACTGGTAAATCGCGCCTCTCCGGCTGTTTTTCTATTCGATCTCCCTCCTCCGACCTCCAAACTCACATCCGCCACCTCCACTGAGTTCCTAGCGTCTGGGCATCCGTTCCTCAGAGTTTTGGTCATTTTATGTGGTGGTCGAGTCGCCAGCGATGAAACTCGAGCGAGACTCAGGCGGCCTCCAGGTGTGTTTATCTCTTTATCTTGTCTAATTTTGGAGGATTGCTACCAAGGGTTCTAGGTGAGGAATGTGGGATTGGAGCTTCAATTGAATGAATTAAGTAGGCCTTTGGTTTTGCATGCTTGCCTGAATGTCTTTATGTCCGCTTGAACGAGTTGGCCTACTGATTGCATGTTTTGAAGGATGGAATTTATTTTTCTTGGTGTTGAGAATGGATATATTGTGCTTGATTAATGGAATTTGTGAATTTTCTTATTCGATGGCTCCAAGTGCAGTTTATCTTGTTCCTATTCATTGATCATGTGTCTATGTATGGCTTGTGTGCATGCTGTCTTTTGGTTGCAGGACTATGAACGACTACCTGGACATGCTAAGCCGTGATCAGAGGAAGACTCTGCGGGAACTCCAGACCCGTGCTTTCTTTGAACACCATCACCTCGATCTTGAGGTCTTTGAGGAGTTGGGTGCTCGAGAGGCAATGGAGGCTGTTGTTCGCACCTACTCTTGGCGGCGCCTCCTCTGCCTCTCTGAGATGACTTATAAGGAGCTCGTATGTGATTTTTATGCCACCTTCCAGCACTTCCAGACCCGAGCTGACGCACACGACAACACCATCCACTTCACCCTAGGCGGGGAGGCTCACTCCCTTAGTTATGATGACTTCGCCAGGGCCCTGGACCTTCTTCTTCTAGTTACTTGCCACATTGCCATCGAGCAAGCGGATCCTCCGGCCTTCTAGGATCAGTAGTTCTTCGAGAGGATTTGCCTTTCGGATTTCACTGGCGCTGTGTTCACGCCTGGTCAAACCATCGCTACCCAGTTGTGCCCGAATGGCGCATCCTCAACCAGCTGTTGGGCAAGTCCTACGCACCTAGCACAAGCTCAACCAGTCACCTCCAGCTCCACACTGTCTTTCCTACACTCGATGAGCCATGAGGAAGACACTCTCCATTTGGCCTCTGTTATTGCCAAGACAGTCGCCAAAGCCACTCGCTGCGGTCGTGCTCACGTTTGTGGGCCGATTATCACTTCTTTGGCCCGGTATTACGAGATTGACCCCACCGGTTTCACTCCGATCCTGCTGTTGACCCCTTTTAGCTGGGAGAATCTCCGGATCCAGCTTTTACTGAAGCACGAGGGGGTCGTGACCTGGATTCGGGGGCTCCCTCAACCCACCTAGTGTACTAAAGGATGTCGATCTCCTTAAGGCGAGTGCTACCAGAGTTCGTCGTGGGACCCGTCGACCTGCCGGCCGTACCCAGGCCTCTATAGCTGCCCCATCTAGTTCTTTTGCCGACCCTTCTGCTACTGCCCCTCGGCCTATATTGTTGAACAGTTGGCGGCCATTTCTGGTCAGAACGAGCATATTCTTTTCGGCAAGGAGCACCTTAACCGCCGCCTCGATCACGAGCGAGATGTTTGTCGCCGCATCATCTCTGGATAGCACTACATGATTCATTACTTGTACATGGATCTTGTTGTTGTTCACTACCCCTGGGTGGCCTCCACTGGGTACGAGGATGACTACCCCCCTCCAGCGGGCGATAGAGGCAATGAGGCCTAGGATGGCTTCGACCGATCCCTTCTGGAATGGTGGGTTATGGATTTTCCTTCATTTCAGACTGAGACTCTGTTGTCGGTTTTTCTTTTTCTTTTTTGTGGATTGTAGACTTGGAACTATGGGTTTTATTACCCAGTGTGTGTGTGTGTGTGTGTGTGTGTGTGTGTGTGTGTTTTGATGACTCTAGCTCTGTGTCTTTCGATTGGTCCCCTTCCAGTCCTTTGTTGTTGACTGTCTGCCTTCAGTCGTCGTTCCCGGTCGTCATTTCCCGGTAACATTGTTCCCCTTTCCTCTACTCCATTGAGGGTAATGTCGAACTTAAGTATAGGGGGTGCTTTGTCATTATTGGAACATATGTTTGCGTGCTTGGAGCCTACTACGCTGTCCAAATTTTGAGATTTGAGGGCTCCAAGTACTGATGTTTGCATGATCATATTGGCATTGTGGTTTACGTGGTGAATCAGTTGCCTGTTAACATTGATGTGTGACAACTTGTTGGTGACTAGGACAACCTATAATGATGACTGAGACGTGCAGTAGAGTTGTGTAGAGGTTCAGTTTTTCAACTGTTTGCTTATCAACTGCGACGTGGATTGATCACTTATTTTTTACAATCGTTTATGCATCTAGTTCAGGGAATCAAAATGAGAGATAGAGCATATAGGTAGCCATGTGAGATTTGATCCTGCTCGTTTCTTTCTTGTGTGATAGATCCCTCTTCCATGATGTGTAGCATTCATGTTCTCACTAATTAGGATAATGGAGGCATAGGATTATCCCACGAACAAATTGAATGTCCTGGTGTGTCATACCCCTAGTCAACCCCTTTGAGCCGTGTAACTTTCTTTCTTTGTGTCTACATTGAAAAATCACATGTCTGCATCTATTTGAGGTTCCATAGAGTGGTTTTTGCATGTTGTCTGCTGTTTCTGCTGGAAATAAGATGAGAGTTGGAGGTAGTTCTTAAAATCAGGGCATGGGGTTGCAAGGATAAAAGAATGTGTAGAAGTAGTGGTTCTCTCAAGAAAAAAGAGAAGAAACAAATGAAAGCAAAAGAGAGCCACCACAAAAATCTTAACCATGCTCATAAAACAGTGTTTCTTGGCAGACTAGCTTCGAAATGCTAACATGTTGTGACCTCTTTCACCCTTGTTCTCTAAAGAACTTGATTAATGCAGAATAACAGAGAGAGAAAGTAAATGGTTTATATGAATGTTGTTGTGTTTGGTTTTGGAATTGTGGAACCTTGTGTTATGAATTCTTCCACCACCAAAAAGGCTTTTTCCCCATGTCCAAGACCCTATCCAGTCATTTGAACCCGTGTCTAAGACCTCCTGCCTAGTTAGTAATGACATCCGATATGTGAACTCTAGCATTTAGAGGTTGTCGTCATGGTGAAGAGACGTTAGGGATTGAGAGTACGAGTATGCACATCTTGCATCAAATTTTGTCCTGTCCCCACTAGTCGAGAGTGAGTGATTCAATTTTCATATTATATACCTCGGTAAAGACCTAGATTGCTCGGTCTTAATTCTTATGTCTTGAATTTTATGCATGAGATGACTGTCTTGAATAAGTGGTGAAGTCAAATCTATGTTGGTTGGTGAACAGAAGGGAGACTCTTCCTTTACTCGATTTTGCTGCACTCGAATGTCATCTGTGGTGGTTGTCTAGGTTGCCGTTGCGATTGTTCATGTGTTGATGTCTAAAAGCCAGTACAATTCCCGTGATTTGTGCCTATATAATATGTCCCCAAAGTTTGCATGGTTAAAATATTTTGAGCTTACCTAGTATCTGGCTTGATTTGCTAGGGGACAAACAAACGATTAAGTGTGGGGGAATTTGATAGCGTCGTATTTGCACATGTTTACACCCTCTTTTCTTAACCATTATGGCTCGAATTTGTGGTTCATTGGCCTATTTTATGCTAGGTTGTACTGTTTTGTCATATTTCAGGTCCTAGCAGATAAAGGAAGGCTTAGGCGTAAGTTTCGGATCATTTGGAGATCATTTGGCGATTTTGGCGACAAATTACCGTCGACCTCTGTAAAACTACGACTGTAATTCCTATGATTACTGTCGGTATTTTTTATATCGAGCATAGTGAAGGCTCACGTGAGAATTACGGTCAGGCTTCCCAAAAAAACGATCGTATTTATCCAGCGTGCAGTCCGTGTTTTTTATGCCGAGGCGAGCCCTTGAAGATCTCTGAGGAAAGCCAAAATACGGGCAGGACCGGAAGGAAATACGACCGTGCTTTTCAAAATACTGCTAGTATTTTTCCCAGAAGCGACCGTGGTTTCTCCGCCTCAACTTAAGCAAAATGCGCGTTTTTGGCGAAATATGGGCAGAGGCGAAATACGACCGTATTCTTGCCCGTATTTCACCCAGAATCGGGGTAAAGAGGCAGATTCGAGCCAAAGTAAGGGGATTCGACTTTTTGGGGCAAAAAGAGATTTCTAGAGAGAGAAAATGACGAAGAACAAATCCTATGAGCTATTTGGAGTGGATTTCTCACTATTGAAGCCCATATTGTGTCCTCAAGAGTGAAGATTGACATCCGAGAGTAGATTATTCCCATCTTTATGAGTATGACTGCTTTGATTTATGTTTTCCTCTCTCTCTCTCTCTCTCTCTCTCTCTCTCTCTCTATGAAGTAGACATTTCTCTCACATTTATCTTGATTGTAATGACTTTTGGGATGATATACTGATTGGTTTTAATCGATTGAAGTGTGTTTATTGAGTCAATTGAACCCTGATCAAATTCTTTTGATTTCTGCTTCAACCTGTGATAGAATCTGAATAGGTTGTTAGAGTTTCTTCAATTGATAGAAGTGAATTGATTGTTCGAGAGTCAGTCAATTCACTACTTTGTACTGTAATTCATTTCCAGTAGTGGCATTCTGTGTTAATTGTCCTAGTATTCTATCTCAGTGAAAGCTAGTCGTCTGCTTGATAGTCTTCCTAAAAAGGCTTAGCCAGCTTAAAAGATTCCAAACTATTTTCGAATTTTCCGCAGTTTAATCAACAATGAATCAACCAAAGCAAATTACAACTTTAACCTAACTAAGAAGCTAGGGAGACTCATTCTCGAATGACTCTTCTCTTGCTTTAGAAACCGGACAATTTACTTCTTTTATGCTTCCGTTTACAATCATCATCAAACGAGTAGAACAAAATGGGATTAAAAGAACTTCAAAAATTCCAGTCAATCATTGTAAACAATGAGCTAGCTAAGCCAAATAGTAGTTGTCGGCAAGCTTCTATTCGCCTGTTCTTACATTACATTACTAATAGTACTGGATCGTTGTTTCTCCATGAAAAGGCGCTTCGACACTCGGATGAATAAACATATTCGCAGCAATAGTCTAACTCTAGTGAATACATTACTGTTTCAACGCACCTACCCATACATAGATACATCAAAATCACTACCAGTGCCTCTTGGATCCTAGAGGAATTACATTGGAACCCGAAATCCTGTTGCCATAACCACCTCCTCCCCCTCCTCGTCCTCTGGATCTGAAGTTCCCTCCTGAACCTACAAACAAAATGAGTTTCAACAAGGATGTCTACATGCCAAAAATAAATAAAAGAACGCCTCCATAGTCCATGGTGGAAGAGAGAGATCTACCTCCGTGAGAGGCTGATCTTGCCATATCAGACAATGCAGGGGGTACAACCTGCCCTGCTTCAGCCAAGATCTTAATAAGATGCCTAGCAAATTTTGCATTTCCATGTGTGAAAAATGTAAAGGCAGTTCCTTTTGCGCCAGCACGCCCTGTCCTCCCTATCCTGTGAATGTAATCTTCAAGACTGGTCGGGAAATCGAAGTTGATCACACATTTTATATCCTTCACATCTACATAAAACAGAGATGCAAACCAATTGAAGTGAGCTCAGGTAACAAAAGATATTAACAGATCCCAAATTCAGGATATAATACTCAACCCAATTTACTAGATAACAACAAGAAACAGGCTTAGTCAGCTAGGGAAAATGAATGCATGAAGCTCAGGAAGGATCATGATGCATAACCAACACCATCATATCACTGATAGAGAGGAGACTAGACAGACACTAAGCCCTCACTTATCCCTGCACCACTGAGATCCGTGAGATCAATTTAAGATTAACACATTCATCAGATAAATGTGCCCACCTTAGCATTGCAGGGATAAGGATCAGCTTTCACCACCACCATCTAATGTGCAGTCAATTTTTAAATCCATGAGAGTCGACCCGGCTGCCAAAAAAATCCAGCTCCATGACCGTGGATGGGCAGACTTCAACCATGTTACTTGAGACAGTGACGAAAATAGCCATGTATAGACAAGGAGAACTAATCAAAGAAGCACTGAAGTCTAAGTTCCCCATTGCTATGCCAAAGGTGCCGCTACAAATCCACTAAGCCAACTAAAAGGAACATGTAAGTTTATCCCCAGAAAAATCTTAAGAAAATGTAGCAGCTATTTAGTAGACCTTGCTATCTTTCTCCAAGAAACATGACCCACAATAATACGATGCCCAAGTAGGGTTGTATTCCATTGAAATCGGAGAAACTGACTGCCTCTCAATCCAACTTGAAAACCTCCTTGAATCACAGAATTGTGAACAATTTAAATCCATCCCTTCACTTGGCTCATATGTATCCTCCACTTTTACCCATACCACTAACAGTATCCCAGGAACTGGAAAGCAGCCGGCGACTCACCCATCTCCTCATTTCAAAACAACAAGTGAAACAGACTCTAGACTCTTAACACAGAATATTCCTACCAAGACCACGGGCAGCAACATCAGTGGCAGTCATTATAGGACTTCTGCCACTCTTGAATTCAGAAAGAACCCAATCCCTTTCAGCCTGATTTTTGTCTCCATGGATGGATAATGCTGGCCACCCATCCATTCTCAATTGCCTTGTGATTTGGTCACATCCCTTTTTTGTCTCTGTAAATATAAGAATTCGACTACCATCCATCACTTCTTTTAGCAGATTCGCCAGTCTGCATGGACAAGCATTGTTAAGCATTACAGCTTCAAGAAAATAAGCATCTGTGTATAGCGGCATAAACAAGTTCAAACCTGTTATACTTCTGAACATCTGTAACAACTTCGATTACTTGATTTATAGATTGGTTTGCTTTTAGATCGGCCGAACCAATGATTACCTGAAGAAGAAAGAAACAACTTTTAAGAGTTGGGATAACTCAGGCTATAGTCTTTTGCTATACAACCAGCTTTTACACAAACCATATTACTAATGATTAATAATAATAAGAGGGGGACTTAAACCTTGTATGCATTTCGCAGAAACTGTCTTGCTAGTGTTTCAACTTCTTTTGGCCAGGTGGCACTCCAATACAATGTTTGTCTATCAGGTCGGATCTAACAGAAAAACAAACCTTATATATCCAGGGGCTACAAAAAAAAAATTGCAAAACAACTTTGCGACAGAAAAACAACTGGTTTATGACATACTTGAGATATAATTTTCCTGATCTGGGGCTCAAAGCCCATGTCTAACATCCTATCAGCCTCATCCAAAACAAGGTATGTTACTCTTCGCAGGTTTGTATGTTGAGCTTCCAACATATCAATCAACCGACCAGGGGTCGCAATGACAATTTCAACACCTGGTGCAATGCAAAGGAAAAATTGCTACTAAACCATTGCTCTTGCATCTACATAAATTTGTTGAAAAACACTACTCAAAGACGCTGCAAAGTACCTCTTTTCAGATCACGAATTTGTGGGCCCTTTGGAGCACCACCATATACACAGGTACTCCTAGTATTAGAACGGGCACCAAACTTTGCAGCTTCTTCTTGAATTTGAACAGCTAATTCTCTTGTAGGAGCAAGCACCAACACGATTGGACCTTCACCTTGGGCTGGAAAGAGACATAGGGGCCATCAAATAAGCTCTCCAGCTTGACACTAAGGCGACCTCATCGAAAGCATGATTTTAACGTACATACCCAATCTAGGCTGTGCACCAACATGAACCAACGCAGGTAACAGGTAGGCTAGGGTCTTCCCGGAACCTGTCTCAGCAATACCAATCAGATCCCTACCCTTTAGAGCCATGGGCCAGCCTTGAGCCTGAATTGGTGTTGGCTCAACAAAACCCAACTTAGCAATCACGTCTAAGCAGTAGTCTGACAACATAGGGACATCAAATTAATTCTGAGATGGAAAACAACAGTTCAATGAGGTGAAAATTTCAAATATCTACAAGCACATGGAAAACCGACCTGGGAAGTTGGCGTCCTGAAACATCCGAATGGGCTTAGGCACGTCATGCCCTTCGACCGTAATGTCTCTTCTCGAACGATACATCATTACGTCCTGCTCTGACATAGCTCGAACTGCAGGGCACTCAATGTAGAAGTTCTTCTCGAAAGGAACCAAATTTCCAAATTCCTGGTTCGGCAGGGCAATGTTATCTAAATCGCCTCTCGAAGACCCACCGCACCTACCTCCCCTTCCACCACCACGGCCTCCATCAAATCCCCGGCCACCACCACGGCCTCCACCGTCACGGCCCCTTCCACGACCACCATCAAACCTCCTATCCATGATACCGGCACCGCCATATCCCCTTCTGCCACCTCCTCCGCGCCCGATATCGAACCTGCCCGCAGGCGGATTGAAAGGTGGATATCCATCGGAAAAAACAGGACCGTTTCCTCCCGCTGCAAATGGCAGCGATTGCGTATGCCCACCATAAGGCACCGCTCCACCGCGCGGATAGGCGCCACCAGCCATTACCGGAGGTCCGATCAAGTCACTAACCCACAATTTTAGAACATCCAAGGCATAAAATGGTTAGGGCTAACCTAAAATAACACAAATTGAAACAGCAAAGCAGAAGAGTTGAGGAGGCGAGAGGAAAAAGCTTTTCTACCAAGTACCTGCGACGATGACGGTAGGATTCCGGGTCGGAGTATCTAGGGTCGTAAGGGTTCATTGCTCCTGTTATTTCCCAAAAAGAGACTGGGGTTTCAGACTTTCAGTGCTTCGAGAACACGGCGACATGAAAGGAAGCTAAGCATATGGCGTCTGTCTGTCAATTCAGTTTTTGTTTTTTTTTTTCGTATACATCCAATATTATAACAACTAGGTGGCGATGTTGCGATTTGTTACGGGCGAATATGATCTACGGGCATGTATTATGTGACCCGTTATAATGTTTTCTTAGTATAATTAGCTTAAAATTAATTTTTTATTAGCACATCTGTTAGTAATATTGACTGAAAAGATATATATGGCGGTCAACATGCAATTAAAAAAATCTTGAAAATTTTGACTAATAAATGATAAGGTAATTTCTATTTTTTATTCAAATCTTTTTCAGATTCTTTTATATTATCCAAATCTATTAAAATTTTATTAATTATCCAAATCTTCCATAATGCATCAAAATATTAGCCATTTTTACGTTATCGTTAATCATTTTGTAACTCTTTTCTTAGTGACAATATTAAAATTTTGGAATGTTGACTTTCATGAGTCTCTTCCAAGTCAGTATCTTGTTGCCAAGTCAATATTACTAACAAAATTGCTAACTGTAAGTTAACATTTGTCTAATTCTTAGTATTTCGATAGGTTTGGATAATATAAAAGAATTTGAAAAAGGTTTGGATAAAAAATAGACATTACCCTAAATGATATTCACCTAAACCCAAGTAGACTCATTGATTATGAGTAGGGTATGGGTGACACATATATGAGTTTGAAAGTTTATAGATGGGTTTGATTAGTGATTAGAATACATAAAAATAGTATACTAATTAGGGTTGGGCGAAGAAGGCAAAGAAAGAAATAAACAAAGGGTTATGGAAGACGAGTGAAAAATGAAACAAAGAGAAATTAGATGATGCAAAGATTTTGACCAATTATTTTAGTTGGCCGTCAATACAACAATCAACTTTTTTCATCGTAGCAATTTATTGACACTGGCTTATGTAGATGTCGCATATTTTGTTACATTTAGTTAGTAGACGTTTGTTTAGTACCCCGTAAATGTACTAAATGAATTTATAAATTCGTTGTTGTAATATTTTAGAGTCGTCTCGCTTTTATCAGTTATTTAATGTTTCACGTAATGATCAAATATAAAATGGTTGAATCTTCTCCTACAGTTGAGTGATACAACATCTTGTATGGTACAGACTAAATTTATACTTTTATGTTATGGTGGATTGGATTCATGGATTGGTTCAAAAGGATTGGTGGATTGGTTTCATGGATTCAAGTTAAATCTAAATATTGAACCAATATGTAAATTTGAAAAATTGTAAGTATGAAAATCTCATAAAATTTGGATACCAAAATATAATTGTTCAATCGTTTTACATTAAAATTAAATTTGGAGTATTAAAATGTAAAAGGTATATTATAATGACTAAGTTGTAATTAAATTAAGTTTGGGGTATCAAAATGTAATAATTTATGCAATAGTAACTAGGGGTGGGCACGTGGGTGGTTAATCCGCGGATTGATATCGATCTACCCGCAAATAACTCGATCCGCACGTAGTGGGTGATTGATGTGGGTGGATTGCGGATTGGTAAATCTCCCACCCGCACTTATGTGGGTGGATGGTGGGTGGATTGCGGGTCACCCATATGACCCGCATTCTATTTTTACATGAAAAAATGTTGTTTCTTATAGTATCGAATATTCATCATATTTTCGAACTGCACTACAGTCTGACCATATACTTCAAAAGATGAAGAATAAATAATAGTTTTGACTATTATTATTGGCCATTGTGTTGTGCAATATCCATTAGATATTGGATATTGGTATGCAGATTATTGTTAATAACCATTAAATATTGGGATGCAAACTATAAATTATTAATTGTATCAAAATCACAGATTAATGATACAGTCTTACTAATTTTGCTTTGAACTTATCATAAATGTTAGTCAACTTTCTTAATGGCTAGTTGAAGAATTGCTTTTGCGGGTTGACCCGCGATCCAACTGCGCCCATCCGCCACCCACCCAACCCAACCCGCAGAAGTATGTGGGTAGATTGCGAGTCAAAATTATTTCAACCCGCTAGTAAGTGGGTGGGTCAATTTGTGACCAAAACCCACCCAACCCGCCCATTGCCCACCCCTAATAGTAACCGTACTTCAATTATATATATATAATTAATAAGGAAAAAGCATAATAAAGAGTTGAGCAACCAAACATACTAGTAACTAGTCGACCAATGTTCTCAAAAAAAGTTCGCAAAAAAAGTTCTCAAAACTAAATAGCCGAATTAGACTTAAAAATGAAACGATCATTTTGCTACTAAATTGGAAATCATGTTACCAGTTTGTTATAAACGAATTGCATAAGTTTTTAGAAATTTATTTTGTAATGAAATTTTTTGTGTTTGGTATTTAAAAGAATTCATTTCAATTCTAAATTTTGAATTTTACGGAATTGTAACTAGTTATAACAATTTCCTAGAAATTGAGATGGAATTTTCAAATGAATTCCACAAGTATAGACTAATTATAATAAAATAACATAATTATCATAATTTATTAACTAAATTACTTCTACATATATTATTTGGCGTCAACTCAGTAGTATGACAAACATCGACAAGAATTTGATTGCAACGCCAGTAGCAGATATTGGTTATTTGATATTTTTGTTTCAATTGTATCAGTACGTTGAGAAGACACAATTAGAGTGTAGGGTTCATTGGCGAAATATTTAAAATGAACTAATGAATAGAATAGAAATACATAAGAACACTTTCGATGTTCTACTTATGGGACCAAAATCATTTTTAGAAGATGGATTACAATAAATATTGTTTATGCATGAAATTAATAAGGGTGTAATTGAAATTTTTAGTTTAATTCAATTCTAAACGTATGTCAAACATGGTTTCAGAATTGAATTCATTTTATTTGTTAATATTTGAATATGACATACCAAATATAAGAATTCATTTGACAATGAATTATACATGGTAATTCATTTTAAAATGAAATGAATTCTCGATTCATTTGGTACCAAACAGTCTATAACTAGATATCCTTGGTAAAAGAGAATGAAATGGGGGGACCTATAACTAGATATCCTTCGATAAAGATTCACCAGTGTCATGTTTTATTTCTCCAACCATCACTCGCCGAAACACAAAATATGAGTTGTCATAATAACTTATAACCAAAAAATTATGAGTAACATACCAAAGCATAGCATCCCTAGTTGCTATTAATTTCATGGGTAAATACAATATAAAATTCAAATCTTTCATTTCAAACAAAATAATAGCCAAACCTTTCCAAAATCAATTTAATACCCTTTCCTCCTTCGAGTCGAGTCGTTCCACCGTGAGATTCCAGTTGAGCACGCAGTTGAGCTGCGTGTTATTCCCCGCAGAGGCAACAAATCTGAAGTAGGAGATATGGTGGTGGTGGTTTTGTTTTTTTTTTTTTTTTTTTTTTTTGCGGAATGTAATATGAAGTTGAAGATGTTATGCGGCTTTCACTAGAAAAGAAAAGAAACTATAACATAGCATTCAGTAGAATGTGGCTTCCAAATCATGAAATACATGAGGATGTTATTGGCTGATTGTTTTTTCTTGGTCTTACTGAGGAGACAGAAACCGCTAGCCTCCATTAATTATTTCCCAATTCCATTCCGCAAAGAAAACTCACTGTAATTTTTGTGGCTCCGATGGGAGGAGCGGTGGCGCATGGTGGTGGTGGTGGAAGAAGGAGGCGGCGGCGGTGTGGTGGTGGAGGAGGAAGAGGAGGCAGTGGTGGCATAGTGGTGGTGGAGGAAGAAGGCGGCGGCAGTGGATCCAAATTGATGGGGAGATGAGTGGATGTCGGGGATGAATGGAGAAGATGAAGGGATTTATCTTTTCCATTTTAAATTAAAAGAAGATCAATTTGTCTAATAAAAAATTTATTATTTGTCACATCATTTCCAACTCAGCTCACTTTAGAGTCAACTAACAGTTGATCGGACGGAAAATTAACGGATTGGCTATTAAATTGATTTAAAAAAAGATTTGGCTATTATTTTATTTAAAATGAAAGGTTTGGCTATTATATTGTATTTAACCTAATTTCATAAGAAATGAACCATTGATACATTCATAATATTTGTCATAAGCGACGATTATAGCTCCTGTTAGTGCATAACCCACAAAGCTTGCGCCACCTCCCTTTGTTCGATTTTACGAACCATCAATTTCACCAAAACCTCACGTTCTAGGCAGGTGTAGTCACTAATGTAGTCAAAAGTTAGCTTTACAATTTAGACCTCCAAAAATTTGTAGCTTTTATCCCGAAAGCTTTTTGTACCAAAAGCCCAAGTAAAAGCACTCAAGCGTAGTAAAAGTCTTAGAGGCTAGCTTTTAAAACGATTTTTAGACTTTTGATATTTGCATTTTAGGATCATATTGGGTCGTGATTCGGTTGGTTTTACTGGGGGAAAATGACAATGTTTTAATTAAGTCGAGTTATACTTTCGGCCTTTCATTTAACGAATATCTAATCCATATTTCATTTTTGTTTCTCCTCCATTCTTCTCTTCTCATTACCTTCAAAATCATCACATGTCGTGCTATTGTCCAGTAACCAACGTCCTCTCTGATGGCTCCAATTAACACTGGCTATAACTTACTCTTCTACCGACTCCCCTATATGTTGCAACTTCGATATCGTCATTCGACACGATAACCCGCCCAACCTTTACAAATCCTGCTCCATGGCTATGAACCTGTCTCCATTGAAGAATTTTCTCCTTCAGTCTCTCATTTGCCATTTTTTTCATTGATTAGTGAAGTATGACAACCATCCTTCTTATTTCATCATTTGCCATTGGTTTCCTCTTCTTCTTTTCTTCTTCCCTGAAAGCAGCATGAAGGTGTTCAATACTTGTTAAGATTCTATTAATTTAGTTTATCTATGTACGAATGATCTTTTAAATATGAGCTACTTCACTTATGTGTTCATATTTTGCAGAATACAAGTTCAAATAGTTACAATATTTCTATCATATTTACATATGATGGGCAAAAGATTAAGCTTTTACGTTTCAACTTTTATCCATCATTTTGCC